TGCGTTGTTTCCTTTTTGAGGAAAACGGATTTTGGTTTGCTCAGCTCTTGGTGACGCCGTCGAGAGAAGAGATAAGAGAGAAATTGAGGTTGAGATATGTATGTAGTGCCTCCGCCTCAGCGATCCGATTCGGGATCCAACGGTGATTTAAGGGTTTACCAAACTTGGAAAGGCAGCAATGTGAGTTCACTTTTCAATTGGGTTTTTTTTTGTATCTTCGTTTTCGCATCTTATGGGTTTCTCTTGTTCTTGAGCTACTACTCGCCTTCATCACCCAGGCTCTTCCTGTTTTCTACTGTTGATTAGTCAATTTAGTTTCCCAATTTCAACCTAGTTCTGATTGGTACTTGATTAGGAGATTCATAGATTTTGATGTCGTTTTCAAAGGTTTCCCTTGGTGGGCATACGCTTTTGATGTGATTATCCTTTGAATGGGTTTAAGCTAAATAAAGCATTTTAACTTTTATCTAAATATGATTACCACTGCTAGTTTTAGCTCAATGATGGGATTGAGTTACTTTGGATTAGCAAATTTGGAATTTGAGATTTTGTATAGCTTGATGCCTATTTATAGGCAATTTCTTGAATAGCATTCTCTTTGGTTTTGCTGCATTAGATAATGACTCTGAATACTTCTTGATTCGTAGACTTCAATCAGTTTTCGATATCGGGATGAAATAAAAAACGTGTTATCCTTGGCTTTCTCTGTTGGATATTTGGTATAAATGTTAAACACTAGTCGTTAGGACATGAGTTTTGTGATATACTGAATTCATCAGTGGCTGGTGAAATGCTTTTTAAGATGATTCTTCGGGGACATATGCTTTGTTCTTGAAAATTTCTCATCTGGAGTGTTTATTCTTTTTCCTGTTCTTCCAGATATTCTTTCTTCAGGGAAGGTTTGTATTCGGGCCAGATGTAAGATCACTGGCGCTGACCATCTGTCTCATTGCTGTCCCTGTTACAATCTTCTGTATCTTTGTCGCGAGGAAGCTAATGGATGACTTCTCCGATAGCTGGGGAGTATCAATAGTAGTTGTCGCCGTCGTGTTCACCATTTATGTAAGTATAGTAGTATATATAGTTTTTCGCTTTGCATTGCAGATGTTCTAATGACTGGCATGTCCATAGTGATAAATGCATTGTGTCCTTTCCTTTGTATCCACAACTTTTTGATTCCCATAATTTCTTTCCTCAGGATTTAATTCTTCTGCTGCTTACATCCGGAAGAGATCCAGGTATTATCCCGAGAAATGCTCATCCTCCAGAGCCTGAAGGCCTTGATGGCAACATGGATGCAGGGGCTGGCCAGACTCCGCAGCTGCGACTGCCTCGCATTAAGGAGGTAGAGCTTAATGGAATCACATTTAAGGTCAAGTACTGTGACACTTGCATGCTCTATAGGCCGCCTCGCTGTTCGCATTGCTCAATTTGCAACAACTGTGTAGAAAGGTTTGACCATCACTGCCCTTGGGTTGGCCAATGTATTGGGCTGGTAAGTCACATTCCAACCAAAACTGTCTTGAATCTATCCACATAAACCATACTTCCCTGAAAATGTACTCATATTCTGATGGTTATTGCAGAGGAACTACCGATTCTTCTTCATGTTTGTCTTCTCCACTACCCTTCTCTGTATATTTGTGTTTGCCTTCTGCTGGGTCTATATAAGGAAGATCATGGAATCAGAGCATACAACCATTTGGAAGGCAATGCTCAAAACTCCTGCCTCTATTGTTCTGATAATCTACACATTCATATCAATGTGGTTTGTTGGTGGCTTAACTGCTTTCCATCTATATCTCATCAGCACAAACCAGGTGTGCTTCTTACCAATCCAATCCTCATCCTTTTTTTTTGAAATCACGTATCACTGTAACCGTTGATTTTTCTTTGTCCCTGCAGACTACATATGAGAATTTCCGATACAGATATGATCGGCGAAGCAACCCACATAACAAGGGAGTGATCAATAACTTCAAAGAAACATTTTGTTCCTCAATCCCTGCTTCAAAGAACGACTTTAGAGCTATGATCCAGCGTGAACCTCCGCTGCCACCTAGATCCGTAGCAGGCGGTTTTATGAGTCCAAACATGGGTAAAGCCAATGATGACATTGAAATGGGAAGGAAGGCTGTTTGGGCAGACATGGGTCCGGCAATGTCAGAACATGGTGACGGTAAAAATGGTAACAATGAGCGGTTACATGTCAAGGACGGTGAATTAGGCGAGCTATCTCCAGACATTAGGACAACAGTTGATGAACAAAGCGATAGGCCAGGTATGCACCCGAGGCGCTCAAGCTGGGGAAGAAAAAGCGGAAGCTGGGATATGTCACCAGAAGTTATGGCCTTAGCAGCCAGAGTAGGAGAACAAAACCAGAACGGTGGAGGAAGCAGCAGCGGAAGCGGTTTAGTGACCGAAAACAGGCCGACATAGTTTGATACACGGTTTAGCACGGCAGGAAGAAAGAAGAGTCCGGTATGGTGAATACAGATTAAGAGAAAATCTGAGGGGTGTCTCACTTTCTTCAAATGTTTTTTTCTTTTTTTGTTTGTATTATTCAGCTTAAAATCAACTTACTAATGTTCTTAAGGTGGAAAGTGTTTTGTATTGGGTTTGGTTGGCTTTGTTGTGGTAAGCAAATAGGTTGAATTGGTGTGTTGTTTGTATGAGCGAGCTTCTTCTGGATTTTTTCAGACAGTTTTTTTTTTTGTTTTTCCAATTGTGTTCATACATTTAATTTAACCAGAGATCTATGTTGTTTTACGGTAAAAGAAACAAAAAATAAAATAATACAAGAAAAGTTTCTCTGTTATCATCAAGAAACTGAATCTGAATTATCAAAGACATGTGGACCAGAAGACAGACTATTTTTATAGTTTTTCCACTGAAGCATGGCTCTGCAATAAATGCATAAGAACCCTAATGCCCTTTCCCCTCTTCTTCTACTCTTCTGGATTTAATTTAATATGTTTGATAAGACAAGGTTACAGAAGAAGAAGAAGAGTGTGTTAATGTTAAGGTCTCTGATGAGTCAAAGATAGTCAAAAGACCATGTCCAAATCAATAATTAAATCCTTGAATTATTGAGGTTTAAATTATATAATTTCAATGAAAATCTAATTTTTCACACTAACATCATCAGATCTTAAAGACAGGATCTAAAAGAGACTCAATAAGATTCTCTCATCAGTGTTATATACAGACATATTTATATTTAGACAGGATCTAAAAGAGACTCAATAAGACTCAATATGTATATAACATGGACCATAGTTCAATTGAAATGTCACTATAATCATTTAGTAGCCTCTGGCTCCTCTTTATTAGGAACCTTACTTTGTGATAAAACCACCATGTGAAGTAGGAGAGCTCTAAAAACCTCTGAAACTATTCTTTTCATCTTTATCTCTCTGTCCTCTAAATTCACTTTCAACATCAGAACCTAATTAAGCTTTTTACATTCATACACACTCATTACACCAAAAAAACCTTCCAATGGCAATTTAACAAGTGTGTTTCTTGTATTCTTGCTAC